TTTTTTTTTTCTTCCCCCCCCCCCCCCCCCAACTCACACTTTCACATGAATTTTCTTGTATGTTTGTTAGAGAACTGAGCAGGCAATGCCTCAGAGTTTAGTTATTCAGCACAGGTCATGTCATCTCTGGCTGAACAATTCCAATCTCGTGGATTCCACTTTTAGTGTTTAAATTACAACAGACCACAGGCTTCCAGAAGATAATTCTCTTGTTCATTTATGCCCTCTTCAAAGAAAAGTTTCACTTGATAAAATTTGCTTTTCAGACAACTTGGTAATGTTCAGACCAAATTCTAACAGCAATAGCTCTTAAACTATGGCCTATAAACCTCGACAGAGAAACACATATTTTTGTGCTTGCACTGCCCCAAGGAAAGAGTCTAAAGTAACAGTTAAAAAAAACAAAAAGCTATAGGATAAAAATAGCAAGTAAGCCTAGCAGTGTACTGGGCTGTATTACCAGAAGTGTAGGTAGGAGGTCAAGGGAAATGATTAATCCCCTTTACTTGGCACTCACTCCACCACACAGAGTACTGCGCCTGGTTTTGGTCCCCAATACAAAACAGGCATTGACCAACCATCAGGGACAACCACAAGCAAGCTGGGGAGACTTTGACTTGACCTGAGGAAACAGCATTTTCTCCATCAAGACAGCCAAGCATTAGAACAGGGACCCAGAGGGGTTGTCGGACCTCTGTCCTCAGAGGTTTGCAAGGCTGACCGGACAAACTCCCAAGCAAGCTGGTCTGAGCTCGGTGCTGGTCCTGCTCCAAGCAGGAAACTGCACTAGCTGACTTCCCAAGGCTCATCTGAACAATTCTATCACTCCATGGAAAAAAAAGGGTGGGAAGCAACTTCAAAATATCATACATAATTTTCTCCACAAATTATAAAATCAGAAGAGATTACAGTGATAAATAATCTGGTTTCCTAACTAATATTAAGCACAAACTTTTCTTTAATGAATTAGCCACTTCTTTAAAAAGGTCAAATTTGTCTTTAAGTACTTCCGATGAAGTCACCACAACCA